CTCCTCCTCCTCCTCCTCCTCCTCCCCCTTCTCCTCCTCCCTCCTCACTCCTCCTCCTCCCTACTCGTCCTCGTCCCCGTCCTCCTCCTCCTCCACCTCCTCCTCCTCCTCCTCCTCCTCCTCCTCCTCCTCCTCCCTCCTCCCTCTCCCCCTCCAAGGGGGCCCCGGCGTGCGCGAGCAGCGGTGCAGCGTTGCCTGGTGGCGGAGCGCTGGAGAGCCCACGGCCCACGGGGCCTCGTCGGGCGGGTGCGCCCGATGGCCCGAGGGAAAGTCGGCCCCTCCGTGGACCACGGCGCCGGGCAGCGGCCATGGTCCACGCCTGCCTCCCCGCGCTGTCCCCGGAGGAGGAGCGCCTCCTCTTTCGGGAGCCTTGAGACGGGGGTCAATGCAAACGGGGGTCAGCCAGGGCGCCAGATCCTGCAGGATCCTGCGAAGACCCCCTCTGGCTGACCCAGGTTAGCGAGCCGCTCGTGGCCGCGAGGCGGCCGCACATATTGGCTGACCCGGGTTTGCGAAGACCGGAGCCCCGCCTCTTCAGCGAGGCGACGCCGGCCGGGGCGAGGGGCTTGAGGCCGGCGCAGTGGCCAATGTTCATGGAGTCTCCCGCGCAAGAGGAACCGACCATTTTCAGTTGAGAATGTTCAGTTTCCTGGCCGCGGACACGGGCGTGCCTTACAAAAAAAATCGGCCCTTCCAGGGCTCGCATCGATTCGATTCGATTCGATTTTGATGGCTTCCGATTTCGATTATGTTTTACTTGGGCTTCCGATTTGAATTTCCCGATTCCTCCACGAGGCCTTACTGCCCTGCCGGTTTCTGCCGATTCGACTCCTCCCGACTTCTGGCTGCCGATTCCCTCCGAGCTGACTCCTTTCGGTCGCCGGTTGGCCTTATCGATTCGATCCTGGGCTCTCCTGGCCCTTGCCTGGGGAAGAGCCGGACGAAAGGGGGGAATTGGGAAAGGGGGGGGGGTACGAAATTTGGGCGCCGGGAAAATCAGCTACGTAGCTACGTGAGCTGATTCTCAAACCCCCCCTTTGCTATCCCCCCCTTTCGCCCGGCCCTTCCCTTTGGGATGAGCCGCGGGGCTTTCGGACGCCTTCGTCGCTTCTCGGCGGTCCCCCGCGGCTTCGGGGTGTCCGCCATTGGAGGTCAACGCTCGGAGGGCTCAGGTTCAAGTCGGCCCTGTCCATCTACAGGGGGGATATTTCAAAAGTAGTCAAAATATATTCTGGGGACCATTTTGTAATATGTTTGGGCATATTTTGGAAATTGTTTGAGCATGTTTCATTTGTCGTCCAAACTCCCCCGTAGGAGGACAGGCCCGACCTAAGTTTAGGTTCAGGGGGGAATGCGCCCACCCCCAATCGCACACCCCGACAGGCGCCTGATAGCATACCCCGCCCAGGAGCTTCGGTGTCGCCATCGGCCCATCAATCGGCGATGTATATCTCCGTGGTCAGGTCGATATTTCCCCTTCTCGCCCCGAGCCATTCTCTCCCTGACGTTCCCCCTCTCAGGACAATTTCTCTGACCACAGTGGCTATCCGCCAGCGGAGGGAGCAGAGGGGACGACGTTTCAGGAGAAGCGTGCGGCGAGGGAGCCAGGGATCAGATAGTGGATTGGTGGTGCACGTATACATGGACACGAAGGCAGTCCCTGATGAGGGCGAGTGTGCTGAGAAGTGTGCGGCACGAGGGTGGGATGGTGTCATTACGGCTGCAGCCTTGGGGGATGAACAACCGTGAGGCCGCACCAGCCGCCGAGCCCAAGAAGGAGGCCAAGAAGGAGACCAAAAAGGAGGCCAAGAAGGATCCCTTCCCCTCCCCCCTCCTCGTGGCCAAGGCGGCTAAACAGGTTTCCTGTCGGCATCTAGCCGTCGACTCTGGCTGTGCACGTAGCGCCGGCGCTGACTGCGCCTTGTGAGCTGTCCGAGCTTTGTCAGGCGCACCTCTGGTACCCACGTTCCGAGAAGGTGGGTGAGACAGCGAGAGTCGGGAGGGAAACAAACACACAGACACGATTAATCGTCGATTCCCCAGAGAATATGGGAAAATATGGGAAGTGGGGGGGAAGACAAACACCCAGAACATATGGGGAAATATGGGGATTCCTGCTATTTGTGTGTATTTATTCGTGTGTCCTGGGGCCCCTGCAGAGAGGGAAGAGGGCGGGGAGAGGGAGGCGGGGAGGGGCACGGCCGGCCAGGATCGTGCAGGAGCCGCCGCTCCCGCTCCCTCTCCCTCCCATCACTTCCTCTCCGCCGCGTGGAGGGAGGAGGAGGGAGAGGATGGAGGAGGAGGGAGGAGTTTGGAGGATGAGGATGAGAAGGATGAGAATGAGAATGAGATGAGAAGTATGAGGATGAGAAGGATGAGGATGAGAAGGATGAGAAGGATGAGGATGAGAAGGATGAGAAGGATGAGGATGAGATGAGAAGGATGGGAGGAGTGCGGAGGATGAGGACGAGCAGGACGAGACAGACGATGCTGATGTTGGTGATGACGACGATGATGGTGTTGACGACGATGATCGTCATCCTCATCCTCATCATCGTCATGGTGATGATGATGATGCTGATGATGATGGTGGTGATGATGGTGAGGATAATCATCATGATGATGGTGATGATGATGCTGCTGATGATGGTGATGATGATGGTGGTGATGATGATGCTGATGATGATGCTGATGATGATGAGGGAGGAGGAGGAGGTGGAGGAGAGGACGGAGGAAGAGGAGGAGGAGGAGAAGCATGGAGGAGGAGGAGGAGGAGGAGGAGGAGCAGCAGGAGGGGGAGGAGGAGGAGGAGGAGGAGGAGGACGAGGAGGATGGAGGACGAGGAGGAGGAGAAGGATGAAGGAGGGAGGAGGAGGAGGAGGAGGAGGAGGAGGAGGAGGAGGAGGATTGAGGACGAGGAGGAGGAGGAGGAGGAGGAGGAGGAGGAGAAGGACGGACGAGGAGGAGGAGGAGAAGGAGGAGGAGGAGGAGGAGGAGGGATGGGGGAGGACCTCGCCCTGCCCTATTTCCTTTGTCCTCCCTTCCTTCCTGCTTCCTGGGGGGCCAGACGCCACCCCTGCCAAATGGAAGGAGGGAGGCACAGGGAAGTGCCGGGGAGCCTGATCCGACGCTTCGAAAACATTTTAGAGCGGCGGGATTTGGGCCGTTTTCGGCCGCCAGGGGCCCTCGCCAGGGCCTGGGGAGTGTCAAACAATTATTCAGGACGAGAAACTGGTCCCGGGGAAGTGGCCCGGACCTCCGGGGTCCACACACCAAAACAAGTGGAGCAGCTAGATGTCTGGGGAGGCTCCGGGGATGCGCACACGTCTCTGGCAATTCCTCGGACCACCTCCCGCCTCCAATGGGGACCAGGCCGTGTCTGCGGATGCAGCCCAAGCCAGCCTTCCGAATACTTGGCGGACGGAGGGTGACGAGAGGGGGGGGGGGAATGGAAGGAGGATGACAAGCAGGAGGAGGAGGAGGAGGAGGAGGAGGAGGCGGACGAGAAGGAAGCGCGGCAGGGGAGAAGGAGGGAGGCGGGGAGAGGGGGAGGATGAGACGTATCTCCACTAGGCTCCGTGGTCTTGTCTCGCCGGGAAGCTGAAGCGCTGTCGCCTACGTCTGACGCATCATGTGCCTCCCTGGCAATTTTGGACCAAGCCCTGCTGGCTTGAAGTTTGGTGCGGGCTGTTGGTCTTCGTTGTCGTTCTTGCTTGAAATTTGAGCACCATGGTCCTCCTCCACTTGCCAGCTCTGCAGTACAAGGCAAACATGGCCATCACCTCCCTTCAGGTTCTAGGACTTGGTGGAGGTCTGCAGGAAGTGCAGGGAACCAATGCAGGCTATTCAAAGTTCGCAGATGCGACAGCTGCGTTCAAAGTCCCATCTCGCCTTGGTATGACGCTTTTGTATTCTCCGGCTCTGCTAGTTTCTTTGGCCTATTTGAAGAATGACCCCAAAAGCGGCAACGGCCGCGAGAAGCTGACGGCCCTGCTTCTCTCTGTGCACTTTGGCAAGCGAGTGCTGGAGAGCCTGTTCCTGCACCGCTACAGCGGGACAATGAACGGAGACTTTCTTGCGCCGGTAAGCACATCGTATGCGCTCACGGCCACTCTCATTGCCCATCTCGAAGAAGAACAACAGCATGAGCATGAACTTTCGGAGCCCCACGCGGATTTTTCGTGTCGGCGGGTCGGCGCTGGGCCCCCCCGGGCGGCGACTCTGGCGGAGCGCGCCAGGGAGAGGGTTTTTGGTGGTGATCCAAGAAATCCGCGCGGACCCCGAAAGGCTATGTTCATGCAGATTTTCTTCCTCTATCATCAGCAGCGCCAGATTGCCAACTATGCCGGCAGCGTTGCCGACCAGCGGATGCTGCTGGCGGGCATTGTGCTGAACGCCGTGGGCCAGCTCGGCAACCTCTACCACCATTGGCTCTTGGCGGCCATGCGCCCGACGAAGGGTGGAGCAGAAGAGAGCTCAAAGTATGTGGTTCCTTCGGGCGGCATGTTCAGGTATCGAACTGCCTCCGGCAATTCTGCCACCGTGCCAGCGCAGCATTATTGGTAGCAGCGATTCGAGAAGGCACGGCAGGCCGTCACGCGTGACACATCGGAGCTCTTGAAGGCCTTGGTGCTTTGTTAGGTGCCTCTTGGAGTCCTCTTAGTGGCCTCTTGGGGCCTCTTGGCAGCGTATGGGGTTCTTCGGAAGCTCTTGGGGGCTTCCTGGGCTGGGGAGGGATGGCCCTTAGAAGACTAGACCAAGCCAGGCAGCACTTGGCATTCTACCACGCCTCAACATGACAAGAGGCACGGTGGCGGATGTTACTGCCCCGCATTACTTTTTCGAGTTGCTCAGTTGGCTCGGTATCGCTGCCGTCACCCAACACCTCAACTCGTTCCTGGTCGTTGCAGACATGCTCTCCTATCTGGCAGGGCGTTCCTTTGCGACGACACGGTGGTACAATGCAAAGTTCAAGAACTACCCCGCCGAGCGCAAGCACCTGATTCCGTTCCTCTTCTGAAGCAGCTGGCCGTGGTGCCACTATCCACGGGGTGCCACTCTAGCTTTGTGGGGTTTTCGACGTACTTTTCTGGGTGCGTCCATCTTCAGATCAGCTCTATACTTGTTGTCCACCTGCAGGTTGGTTGCTGTGTTGGTCCGTTCGAGCCTTCTGCGCGGTAGGCGTCCTCACCGTGAGCTGAAGCAATGAACCACGTGGCATCGCCCCTTCCAAAACAGATGCGATGTGGTCGAGCGGGCTCCCTTTCGCATGGGTACCCCCAGTCGACCTGCCGGCGGATAATATCGCCGCCATGCCCGCGCAACACCGATATGCACGCAGGGTGGGTCCACCGAGGCCTCTGGACAGGCTCGGTGGAACCATCCTGGGGCCGTCTAGGAAGCAGCCCTACAGTAAGACGCTGCAGCGTGGCGCTCTCGCGATGTTGCACGGCTGCTGCGTTGCGGTCTCGAGGCTTTCGGTAGCGTCTTGGTCGTTTCTTGGAGACTCTCGGAGGAGCTCCTCGGACCCTCCTGGGGCCTGCGTGGGGCACGTCTGGGGCCTCTAGGGGGCATGTGGTGTCTCCGGGCCGTCCCCGGGAGGCTCGTGTCGACCAGCTTGGCTGCGCCTGGGCTGGGTTTGGGACCGTCTTGGGAACTTTCTCAAGGCAGCATTGGTCCGTCTTGGAGGGTGGTCGGTCCGCCTTCGAGCCCTCCTGGGTTTGTCATGGGGGGTTCCCGTCAGAAACGTGATGGAGAAATCGCAACGTCGACAGCATCGGAGGGCGCCTGTCAATGAACGCTGCCAGCCAGGGGCAGTTGGCCAGGGCAAGACCACAACGCGGCGGCAACTCAGGCACCAAAGTGCACCGACCATGGAGGCCAAGCGCTTTCCCGATGTGACCTCGAGCTGCGGAAGCTACACGCGCAGTCGATTCATGCAGTGTGGCCTCTCTTGGATGCCTCGTTGGGCGTCTCTTGGGGGGCTTCTTTGGGGCTCCTGCGATCCTGCTTGTGCCCGTGCTGCTTAGTACCCCTAGGGTTAAGTCGGGCCTGTCCCTCGACAGGAGGAATATTCAAATATAGACAAAAATAGTTTGGGGACGATTTTTCGATTATTTGTGGCTATTTGAAAGCTCTTTGGAGTATGTTGTATTTTTCGTCCAAAATCCGCCTGTAGGGGGACGTGCCCGACCTAACCCTAGGGAGATCTCGGGGCCTTTGGGGGGGGGGTCGTTGGGCCGTCTTGGGCTGGTCTCAGGGTTGGAGCCGGCTGGGGGGCTGAGGTGGCCCAGCACCAGCTCCAGCCAGCAGAGGGGGGAGCGAGGAGCCCTCTCGTCGCCACGGCTGGACGCGGCTCGAAAAACTCAGCCCGAGGAGAAGTCCACGGACCGATTATGAACGAGTTCGGCGCCAACGCCCCCTCTCGACATGTGTTCTCTGTGCTTACCCAGCTCAGACCCGCTGGCCGTCTCCAGCGTCTAGGAGCTAGAAAGAGCACCAGAGAGCAACACCCGTGAGGCGGGGTGGAGCAGGGATTTTAGGAGGAGGTGTGGTGGGCGTTTCACGATGGAGGTAATGGCCAACCTCGGAGATCGACAGACGCTCTACGCACAATATGATTAGAATTGCTAGCGGTAGCGCTAAGCAGCTTGGGCATCGGGTCCGCTCCTCCATCTCATGCAATCTGCTCCCCCTTCGGCTTGCCACATCGGTTACATGGCCGCAGTGCTGCACAGTGCCTTCGCCCTGGTCATCCAGGGGGCGCGGCGCGCACTTGCATGCCGGTGCAAGAGCGCGCCTCAGCGTCCCCAGGCATTCACGACGACGCGCCTGCGCCCTCCCACGCCGATCGCACCCCCTACTCGGCTTACCCAAGGGTGTCTCGTGTGTTCGGTGATGGGAGACCCTGTCCGACAGGAGGCGTCAGGCAGTTTCGCTCACGGTTCGCGTGTGGTTTGCTAGTGCCACGCATCACCTTGCAAGCGATGCGGAACACTGCTGCGTTGTGTTGTGCAACGCGGTTGTACATGTGTACATTGTCCGTGCCACGGTTGGCTATACAACGCCATGCTGTCTTGCGGTATACTGCGGCAGGCGACGCAATGCTATGCAACGCAATGCGATGCTCCATGCCGTGCCGCGCTGCGCTATAATTGACAATGTTGTTATGCCACGAGGTGTTGGGCGCCGTCATTCTACGCGCCATTATGCTGTAATGCATGTTACAGCGCATGGCACCTGATTGCTTTGCACGCCTGTGCCGGGTGAGTTTGATTTCCTGATCCAGAGAAGTGAAGTTCCAGGCTGCTGTTACGCACGTGCGCGGCACTGTCTCATCACTTGCTGTTTTTTTTGGGAGCGGGCGCGCTGGACCTCACAGTCCTGGTGCACGCCTGTTTGGTCGCGGAGCTGCCCGGGCCCCAGAGGTGCAGTCTTGCAGCGGCGGAGGCATCGGACGTGGGGCGCCGCGCCCGAGGGGCGCCGGCATCCGTGGGGCACCCCTCGTCGAACGAAGGCACGTGGGGGATGCGGATGCAAGGTAACCCGCTCCCCATCCGACAGATTGGGGCTGTTAGGTTCTAAGGGAAAGCCCCCGACCCGCCTTTGCACACCCTGAACACTGCGGCCGACGTGCCCAGGTTTCCGTAGCCATCTTGGCTCAAGTTGGGAATCACCAGCTGGGCAGGAGCAGCGGCCAGGCCCGGCGCCTGGGCCCGCGCGTGGGGCAATCCGCGCGCGTGGCCAATACAGGCCAACACTAGGCGACCGCGGCGGCGGCGGCGGCGGCGGTCGCTCGCAGGCCGCTGGCAGGGCAGGTCCAGAAGTGCTCCCATGGCCACGGGAGCCATGCTGGGGGTGCCCATTGCGGGCACACGGTCAACTGGGCGTGCCGCTTGCGCTGCCTGCACTAAGCAACCCTGCGCCGCAGCGGATCGCGGATGCCGCCCGGCAGCCAATCGGCAGCCGCGCCTGCAGGGTTTGTCCAAGGCGGGCGAGCTTGGGCACCGGCGCCAGCGCCAGGTGCAGACGGGCACGGTCTCCTACGCGGCCGCGGTGCAGCACATGCTGCCTTTGGCCCCGGGAGCTGCGGCGCCGCCGCGCCGATGCCGCCGGCCGGGGATGGCATTCCGCAGGACACCTCATGGCCGAGCTGAGCCCTGTGCAGAAGGAACTCTGCTACGGGCGCGACCAGCGGACGACCGCCCAATGTTATGGGGCGGCGGCGGATGTTGTGGAGTGCGAGCGGCAGATCCACGCCTTGGAGCAAGCTGCCCAAGCGTCGCGGCCTTGGGCGGTCCGCGCCCAGGCCACCACGGCCTCGCGCAGGGCTGCGGCGGCCAAGCTCAAACCCATCAGCGCGGACTTGATGGAGGCGCGTCGTGCTTTCGTACACTTCGAGACCGAGGCGTCGAAGGCGCAGGAAGCACTGCGCCAGGCCGGCTGGCGCGGGGCGCTGGCGGCCGAGAACGCCGCGCGGCGCCTCCACGAGGCCCGCGCCCCCGCGCGCGACGGCGACGCGGCCGCGGCGGCGGCGGCGCAGGCGCGCGGCGCGCGCCTTCATCCCGGGCCGGAAGTAGACGGGGGGCGCCCGCCGGCCGCTGCGCGCGCCCCCAGACAGTGCTCGTCGCGATCAGAACTCACGGGGGGCCTCTCTGGCCGCCACCCTGGCTGGCATCAGCATCTGTGCGCGCGCTTCGGCCAGGGTTGCGCCGTGCATGTCTTGAGTACTTGTAGCGGCTACGCTGGTGGCTGGAGCGACCTCGAGCGCAATGCTGACAACGCGCTGGAAGGCGCGGAGTGGTTGCGCGGCCTCGGGGGGGCGCCCGCATCATTCCTGGCCAGGGACCTCAACTGCAGCCTCGCCGACATGGGGCTCGAGGGGCTGTTCGGCATGGCCAGTTGGCGGGATCTGCCAGCCGCGCGCGGTCCTGCGCGCGCGCAGTTAGGGCGAGCCCACTCGCTTCGACTACGTGCTCGCGAATGCTGCGGCGCTGGGCCTGGTGGAGCGCGTCGGTCTTCGAGGATGGGGCCTCGGGTTCGCCGCCCGCGCGGCGCGTCAGGTGGAGCTCCGAGCCGCCGCGCCGGAGCGTGCGCTCGTTCGGAGGCCCGCGCAGCCCCTCGCCGGCACCACTGCGGCCAGTTGGAGCCCAGTAGTGGCGCGAGCCCTGGCCGCAATCGCCCAGTCGACGCGAGCTTCCTTCCATCGCGCCTTGGATCAGCATGGCATGGGCGCAGCGTAGCTGGAGCCCCACTCGGCGACGCGGACCTGGTTGTCCGCGCGGCTGGGGCCCTGGGCCCCGGGGGGCCAGCCAGGCCGCGCGCGGCGGCGTCGCGGTAGGCAGACCGCCCCCCTGTGAGCGGCGGAGGCGGGGAGGCCGCGGATCGGCTCGCCGGCGCCGCGCCGCCGCGGCTGCGACGCCTCTGCGGGCGGCTGCACGCCCAGCGGCTCGCCGACAGCCATGCCGCCCGCACCATCGCAGAGTCCACGTTGGATCGACGCGCCCCGCGAGGCTGACGGCGGCTGCGCTAACTGGGCCTCGGCGATAGCAGAGCTGCGGGCGGGCGCGCCGCTGCCCGCGCAGGCGCTGCAGCGCGCTGCGGCAGCACGGGCCGAGGCCCGCGCAAGCGCGCGTCGCCGCCGGCGGGAGGAGTGGAGCCGACGGGCGAAGGATTGTCCAGCGAACAGTCAGGGCTAGGTTCGCGGCGGCAGCTGCCTCGACGCCGAGTTCGTCGCCGATCGACTCCCCCGTGCCAGGGGCAGCCCAGCCCTGCGCGGCAGGACTTGGCTGCCTTGCGCGGGGGTTTTGCTTGTTACGTGTAGCTGCGCTTCTTCGAGGGCCCGTGGAGGGCGACGTGGCAGCGGGGCGCGTCTGCGAGTCTTCCTAGACCGCGCCCCATGGATTGCTGCGTTCGCGGGCGCGCTCTTGCGCGAGATGCCGAAACGCATGATGGCGGGGCTCCACGGGTAGACAATAAGGGAGCTGCGCCTTCTGCTGCTGGAACTGCTTGCGTGGCTCACCGCACTCTGCGAGTAGGTTGGGGCGCTCGGCCGCTGGCCCCGCGAGCTGGCCGACGCCGATGGGCTGCTCCTCTGGAAGCCTGGCGGGGAGGGTGGGCCGTTGGACAGGCGACCGATGTGATTGCCGCCGATTTGGCATCGGGCGCGGGCAGCGGGCCGCGCCCGCCTGTCCGCGCGGTGGCCCCCCCCAGTGGGCCGGCGAGGAGGTGCAGCGCGGCGCCGAGGAGCTCGCATGGGAGATGGCGCTGGAGCTCGAGGCCGCCGAAGCCCTGGGCGATAGCACGGCAGGCACGGCGCTCGACTGGCGGAAGGATCACGACCATATCCACCTCGCCCCCTTGTCTGGCCTGCTCGGCCCCGCGGGAGTGCCGCGACGGACCGACGGGCCCGCCATGCAGTCGCACTCGGCGAGCAAGCGAGTCAGGGTCGGCCGCGCCGTCGGCAACCAGTGGGCCCCCACCGGCGGCGTCTTACCTCGATGTGCGCTGAACGTCTTCTTCAGCGTGCTGACGTTGCCGTGGCATCGTCGCACTGGCACGATTGATGATTGCCGACGGCGCCAGATTTACGTGGACGACTTCACGTAGTGGGCGCGACGCCCCGCGCACGAGGCCGGCGAGGCGGCGGAGGCGGTCCGCGCGGCGCCGCGCGTGACCGCCCGGTTCGAGCCGGCCATGGGGTGGCGGCTGAATCAGGGCGAAAGGAGCGTGATGTTCGCGAACACGGCCGCTTTCAGGCGATGGCTGGGGGCGCAGTCGCCGATCGCCGCCGGCACTGGCTTCAGGGACCTCGGTTGTCGCAATCGCGGGACGCAGGCGCCGCAGCGCCGAGGCGCCCGCGCGCGCCCTGGACGCGGCTTGCCGCTTCGCCTGCATC